AAAAAAAATCCAATTTGATATAAATAAATATATATACATATTATGAAAAACAGACTTTGGCTATAAGTAAAATGAAAGTTATGAATATCCAGACAAAAGAATATATCAAATCAATTCCAAATAAACAATTTTATTAGTTAAAAAAAAGGAAGAAAATGTATTGAAAATGATGATGGCAGCAATTGTACAACTATGGTTGATGTAATGGAACTATAGATTGTAATTATATATATAAGAGGTCCTAATAAAATGTTAAATACATATATATATATATATATATATGAGAGAGAGAGAATGTGATTTCTAAGGTTCCTTCTAGAGAATCCTTAGATCTCAATTTTGATATTTTCTTATTTTTTAAATTGTGAATTAGGTGAAGGATCACATATCAGATCATCGTTTTTATACTGAACAACTTAAACAAGTTATTAAGCCCCCTCAGGCGTGTCCTATTCCCCGGCCCCCTTTGATGGGGTCCCTTACCACATCCCTCCTGTGGGATCTTGATACCGTCTTCTGCTTCACCCAGGTTAACCTCCAACTACTCCTTAGCTTATTCCTCCACCGCCCCTCCCACCCCTCTCCAAATTCCCACTGCCATAGGGAATTCCCCAGATTGTAACTCATTACAGGGAGTAGAAAGCCCCGGTTTTGTTTGTTTGTTTGCTTTCCCTGAAGAGCAGTTGGTGGTTTTGATCTGCGGACCTTGAGAGTTGCAGCCGGACACTTAACCACGATGCCACTAAGCTCCTCCCCCACCCCTGATAACCATCAGTCTGTTTCTTTGAGTTTGGAAACCGTTTGATTCAATGCTATCGTCTATCTAGGATGAGGCCTTGATAGCTTTATTAAGGTATCAAATTATCTTTTCAAACTAAAAAACAGAAAGCTTGTCACTAGGAGACTGACCCAATGGGGAAGTCTAAAGGGGTGGTTTTCAAAATTGGCTTCTCACTGCAAACACCAGAGAGCTTTAAAAAAAAAAACCCAAAACACAAAAAATCCCCTATTTCCAGAGATTCTGAGTCACTTGAGCTGAGATGCAACTTTGGACATGGAGAGTTTTAAATCTCTCCAGGTGATGCAAGTGTTCGTTTATTCAACAAACAATCCTTGCGCCCCTACGTTGTGCTAGGGATTTGCTCTAGCCACCAGGCACACAGCAGACAAGACAAACAGGAACAAGATCGATTCTGTCCCTGGGCTCCCGGCGCCGGCCCTGAGCGGGGAGAGAGCTTGCCTCACCGCGGGCTTGAGTGGAGGGGCTGCGAGAGGATTCCGAGAGGATGGCGGTGAGATGGGGGCTGGGGGGCTGGTTGCTGTATGTCAGCAGGGACTACTTGGAGTCTAAAGTGGCAGTTTGGGCAGAGGGGTGACACCTTTTGATTTATCTTTAAACCAGACTGTCTGGCAGCTGGGTGCAAAGCCGAGGACCCAGAGAAGAAGCTGGTGCAGGGCACCTGCCGAGCTCAGAGCTCCCTGGGGCCTCGGAGGTGAAAGGTAACGAATCGACCGAGCCTGCAGGACCCGCCGCTCAGTGGGACGCAGGGCGGGCGGAGGGTCCTGGAGGACGCAGAGGCGTTTAAGGGTGGGCCGAGGGCTTGCACCCTTCACTAGCGACTCGGAAAACACGTGGAGAGGCCGCGTCCTCAGCACCGGCGAACCCGGACAAGCGCAGGAATGGCCACGCCGGGGTCAAAGGCTCCAGGAGC